GGATTTGCAGAATACATCAATGACTCTACAGATCTATCTTACATCAATGACTCTACAGATCTATCTTACATCAATGACTCTACAGATCTATCTTACATCAATGACTCTACAGATCTATCTTACATCAATGGCTCTACAGATCTATCTTACATCAATGACTCTACAGATCTATCTTACATCAATGACTCTACAGATCTATCTTACATCAATGACTCTACAGATCTATTTTACATCAATGACTCTACAGATCTATCTTACATCAATGACTCTATAGATCTATCTTAGCCTTCACAATCATGTGATTTGAAATCAGTTGAACCAGAGTAGGGTATCTTAGAAGTCTAGATTTCAAGCCAACATGCATTTTAAAATACTTTGGCAGTTGTGACAGTTTATCATAACAGAGTTGGCTCAGGTACCAAAAGATGCCTTTAGAATACTTATTGATTCTGTTCCTTTTGTGTATGAGTGTGATGTCAAATATTAATACACCTTAATTGGGTTTTGATCCGTTTGTTCAACCCTCAATGTTTTTCACACATATACTGTGTATAAAATAAGAACAAGTTTTTATTCCAAGATGCATACCTCTTCACACATTTGAACTATCTTCCCCATGCATTTGCCTTAGAGATTAGCATGCCTATAACCTTTAGGCAACTCCCATCTAATCTCACGAGGTTTCTCATGAATTTTCTAATGCAGAAAAAGCCTTCCACCAATAGGAGGCTGACACTTCCCTGTGCACAAACTTTCTTTATGGTTTTGTACTCATGAAACATCATTCTTTTCTTTGGCACTGAACACATCAGATGTGCATTTTCTTTTCAATTCAGTGAGATTTGCGAAGGTTAAGCCACTTAATTTTCTTCTTTTTTTATGAACTATGAACTCACAATTTCATATAGCATCTGCTACTGAGCAATTTTTTCACATAATTAATGTATCAACTATGGCACATGGAGATGCATTGAGTGAGGATGATGTTGTAGCCATTGTGTATATGGTAGTGGGTTTCCTTGTGCAGCCAGAACCTTCCTCTCCTGTCCCTTCTTCAAGCATTCCTTCCCCTCATTTTGAAAGGAGAATGAGGAGAACAAATTTGAATGCTTGTTCTCTCCTCCCGCTAATGCTCAGGGAACTTCTCTCTCCATTGAAGAGAACCTCAAACCTTTTTAGATTATCAAATCATAATTTCACAGGAACTTACCATTCTTTCTATTTCCCTTGTGCCACACAATTCTTCTTGTTCTCTACCTCTTAATCCTAACTCTTAACTACCTTTCATTGTACCTCTTCATTATATTGGTATACAAGTTTGACTAACTATGTTCCTGCAACCTCTTGCCTGAACCTCCTCGTTTATCTGATTCTTATATCCTGGATTTCTGTCATTCTGAATTCCCTTCCTTGATTCCCAAATTTAGAATTTCGTTTGCCTGTTTGAGGGGGGGGGCAGACTATTTGATTTCTCTTTCACCCTCCAGGGCCCTATAATCCCTTCTTCTCCTGATCCTTCTTACCGTAGTTCTTTATCTCTCCTCTCTACACCTCTAATCTGATGCACCTCACCATGCCCAAAATATTTTGCGGGCAATTATCGTTTCCTTCTCTTCTCCTACATAGCATGTTCCTCTTCTTTTATTTCTGCTCATTTGGCTTTTTCTTGCTGGAACTTGTTAGGTAGGGATAAACATCGTTTCCCGATTTTGACTTATTTCTACTTTTCTAGCCTAACTCTTCCTTGCCCTGAATTTTTTTGGGTATTCCTGACTGGATTGAATCATGGTCAGAGACTGCCTGTCCTCAATCCTTGTTTCCTCACTGTCCCAAACCCAGTTCTACACCACTGTACCTTGACCTAGTTCCCTGGTTCCAATCTTTTGACTCTCAATTCCCAACTTTCCTCTTCTGCCTGGCATTAGACTCTTTGAGCTCGTTTATGTCTAACTAGGTTGAGTTTGGTCTTGTGAGGACCCATCTTTCATGGTTTGTGTAACTGTGGCCACAATTTCCAGCAGAGGGTCTACTATACTTTTTACCCATGAACTTTCTCTTCAGTTTTCTTCCCTTCCTTCTATCTTCCCTAATCTAGTCTTCTTTCCTTTTTCATCCAATCCCATCTATATATATTCTGTGTCTTGAGGAGGTTGTGTTTGTCAAAACTTCCTCACTCCCACTCAATACCTGGTTCACCTGGGTATGTTTTTCAATCACTTTCTCAGCTGTGCTCAACCCTCTTCCATCCACCTCCACACTATAGAACTAATAGTCACTAGGATTTGTATCTATCCTACTCGTACTGCATGAGAGGTTTTTCTGCTTTTGGACACTATAGCTTCACTGGAACCACTTATCCCTTTGGATTATGTTCTTACTCCAATGGTCCCTGCGTGGTCAGTGGTACCACTCACAGGAATCTTTAATCTCAAAGAATCACCTATCCCCTCCTCTACTCAAGGATCTGTATTGGTGTTTGAACCAATACAAAATCACCATTGGTGTTCCATTACATCTATCCAAACCAGTTCAATATACATATTCACCGAGACTTTCCTCTCTGACTGGGGAGGACCTCTGAGTGACAATTTCACATCTGACACATGGGACCGCAACAAGTCCTCTTTCCATATCAGTGCACTTGGACTTTTGGCAATCTATTAGGCATGCTTCATATTTTTACCCCTCCTCATGGATCATTTCAGTATCATCCATTCCGATAACTATAAGGTTGTTTCCTATATCAACTGACATGGGAGTACCTGATCCAGTACCCTTTACTTTCAAATCCTAGACCTTCTTTTTTGGCCACTTCTCAATGGGATCATCTTATACTACTGGTACCAGGAACATGGTTGTAGACCACCTCTCTCAGACAGACTGTTCTATCCACGGAATTGTCTCTTTACTACAGGTTCTGTTGGATGGGCTCTCTTTTGGGAACTCCATTCATTGATGCCTCGCTGTCCCTCAATTCTCTGCTTCCTCTTCTTTGATTTCCTCAATGCCACAAGATACAAACAACAATTCGGACATATCTAATAATAACATAACACCTGATCACTTGTGCTAATGTTAAATCACATGTTAAAATGCTTAAAAATAAGGCACTGGGGGAAGACTTAATAATGAACCTGGTAATTAAAAACCTTCCAGATAAATATACATAGTATTTAATTGAACTGTATAATCTATCACTTAAAACTGGATATTTCCCTAAGCACTGGAAAACTGTGATCATCATTGTCATTCCAAGATCAAATACAGGTTTAAAAAACTCTGCCATTTATAGACCAATAAGCCTTTTAAACTCTACAGGCAAACTAATGGAAAAAATAATTACAAACAGACTTCTATTCTATCTAGAAACTAATGAAGTCGGCACTGACATCAAAATGCAGCAAGCCGCAAATCAAAAACTGCTGATCATTTAATTAGACTCACAGAAACAATATTAAAGGCCTTCAACCACAAACATGTAACAATAGCAGCATTCCTTGACATAAAAAAAAGGCTTTTGATAGTGTTTGATATAATGGCTTAATACTTACGCTACATCAACTCAATATTCCACATGTAATAATATGGTGAATATCAAGTTTCCTCCACAGTAAACAGGCTAGAGCTCGATTTAACAAAACTCTATCACAACTATTCAATTTAAAGGCAGGTGGCCCACAGGGCTCCATGATCAACCCACTTCTTTATATAATCTATGTTAATGACATACCATTCCCAAAACTCGCATACGCTCACACTTCACAATACACTGATGATATAGCCATTTGGAGCATGTCATGAGATCCATTGGTTGCTACAAACAAAGTTCAGACTTTTCTTAATGCGCCAAGCTACTTATTACACCAGGAGTTCCTGGTGTAATAAGTAGCTTGCCACATTAAATCCAGTAAAAACTCAAGCTGTCAAATTCTATCACTGTTTTAGAAGAAAAAGGAAAAAAATTACACAAGCTAAATTAATGCTATTAGGCTCCAACATTAAATTCACTTTATCTGTTAAATTTTTAGGTATAACTTTTAACTGTTCACTAATCTTGACTGATCACTTTTTTAAAAGAAAATTGGGGGGGGGGATTCACAAGGGCTGTGCACCTGACACCATTTTAACCATATATAAAACCTACATCAGTCTGCCAATTGAATATGGGTATATGGTCACATGCCACAGTCCACTAATTTAATCAGGAAACTGGAAGCCATATAAAACCAAGCAATTTGAGTAGCTTTCCACCTAGCAAAGTACACTGCACTAATTTACCTAGATTTATTAAATCTCCTACCTACCATCTAGGACCAAATTCAGATATTAGCCAAGAAATACTATTGGATAACCAGCACAAGAAGCACACTAATTCAAAAATTTCCAATGTTAGCAGCAACATCTGATACATTAACATATAGTGTATTAATTATCTATGTCTCTTCTTTTTCATTTCAGACTCATAGCTCAAGTACTACCAGGAGAGAATATTCGGCATCCAGGTAGTGAAAGTGGGTTTTTTCTCAGGGTACTCCTGTGTTTCCTCCCACAACAAAATTCTGGTTGGAAGATCTATAGATCTCCACCCGTTGCTTTTGTGCTGCACCACAACCGCAAGCTGCCTTTGGTTGCTTTTACTTTTTGTTTGCATGACTTAAACATCATGACGGGTTATTTAAACTAATATCAGTAATTTTTTTTTTTCATGCAGCAATTTCAAATAATCTCTGGTCAAGTGTGTGGGTGAACAGAAATATATTTCTGAGTGTCCCAGGTTGTGTTCGCACCTAAACTTTCAGATTAGGGTGGAATGTTTAAAATCTAAGTTACTTTCATAGTTTTTGTTTGTTTCCTTCTGGGGCCTGAGTTTGTACAGTATAGTAGAAGTGAACACATCGTATGATACTTTGCTTTCCTTCTGAAGTCTTTGTCTGTTCAGTAGAGTTGAGGCAAGCAAATTACAAAATCTATGCCCTCCTCTCGCAGCCTGTGACTGGCCTCTTCCTTTGGTCTTGTCTGTTCATTAGAGTTGAGGTGAGCACGCTATACACATGTGCCCTACTTATGTGGTCATCTCCTGCAGTCTGAACATACCCTAACCACACTACATTGTGTGAAAGTAATTGGATGGCATGTTCTTATTTTGCCCATCCCTGAAACATATGGGGCTTGTTTGCTTCTTCTTTCCTTTTTCATGAGCATAGAGTATGACTTGGAAGAGATGAGATGTGGTCTTCCATGGGTGTGCCACTATGGAACTCCTGCCATCAGGTTCACACTCTATGGGTCTCCTTTGGGCATTTTTTGAAGGGAACACTTCTAGGTAAATCTTTACACTGGCTCCACCACCACTTCAATGTGGGATTCTAGCTTAATTGTGTGAAGAGGTGTGTATTGTTTTAGAAGTTAACGTTTTCCTTATCTGAAATGTATTTCTGATAGATACATCTTCACACACATATTCCTACCCATCCTCCCCACTTCTGTTGCACCTTAGTATTCCTTGCCTCATTGATAGAAAGAAGATTCATGAGTGGAAAAGCATAGATGAAGTTAGTGTGCAGGGAGGTGTGTGGCCCTCCTATTGGTGAAGGGCTTTTGCTGCATAATAAGATCATTATGCAGTAGAGCAATTCACAAAAAGTTTTCTAAGATTAGGTGGGAGTTTCTTAAAGATTAGTGGCATGAAAATCTCTAAGGCAAGTGCACAGAAAAGGTAGCTTAACTGTGTGAGGAGGTGTGTATCTATTGGAAGTACATTCTCAGGTAAGGAAAATGTTAACCTTTGGACGGAAGATGAAAAATAATACTTTGAAAATTTAAACAAAAATTATCAGTTTGAATCTGAGATAAGCTCACTACTTGTATTTTTTACTATGAGATCGTAAATCTTTTCATTAGTATATACAACATGATTTTGGATTTACGTTAGTAGATACTGTGTACTATACAATATACTGAAACAGTGGAATTATTTTTGAGTCATATATGTTGATATAATAATTTTATATTTGTAAAAACAAAATATTTTTTGTATGTTGTTTTTTATGTAGTTTGGTCAACATGGAGGTTTTACAGAGATCCAAAATCATTTTCAGAGCCCAACCTTAAATGGCATGGTAAGTTTATTTTTTTAGAATAATAGTTTGCAAGAATGATATATCAGCATTATATAATGTTTTTATTTTCATTTTGCTATTTAACATGTGCATTTTCTTTCATATTTTTTTTACATGATCATATACTTGCAGAAAAAATTACTATGGAAAACTGTTGTTCAAATTTATGTTGTTTTTGTTCTTTTTTTTTACTGCTGAACATCTTATTATTTCATGTATTTTACAAAACAGAGAGTGTACAAATACTTGAGAAATATTTCTTTGAACTTTCATGATGACATTAATCCTATCTGGACTGGTAAGAACCATTCAGTGTGTCAAGTGCACTTTTAACTGTATTTCAACAATTCTTTAATCAGAAGAATTTTAGGATTGATATTTTGTCATTTTGTATTATTTATTTAGTGTAATTCTTAAAATAAAATGCACAGATCTGAGGAATCTGGTATATTTCTCACATCATTTTCATTTTTTTCTTCTGAATCGGTTAGTGTAGTCTCTTGTTCCCACCCATTTATGACCTCACACCACATGATCTGAAACATCAGATTTGAAAATAGCTAAAAGCCAAATTTAAATATTTTGGATAGCACATATAAACTATATACATTAACCTTTTCAGTATGGCAAATCTTAAAATAAGCTGCTGGACACAGACAGTGTCTGGCTCAAAAACAGTGTTTGTCTGGAACAGTTGTGTCAGTACTAGACATTCTGTCTGGCACAGTACCTGTGGCCAGTATTTCAATTTACAATGTTGTTTCCAAATAATCGGCTGGTGAATTTAACCAGTTAGATTTGAAAACAAAATCAAACAATTATAGTAAAATTAGCATAGAAAAGTTCCCAAGCTACACTGATAAAGTTCTCAAATGATTGATAAACATGTGCTCCAGCTAGATGACCTTGATGAAACTTGTGAGAAAAAACCTGGATATGAGCTTATTTATTTCTGTCCCAGTCTCTACACTGCCATTTGCAATGTCATACTGCATTACCGACTTCTTTGTTCGAAATGCTAATTTTAAATGTTCTAACAATTTGACAGTATATATAAACACTGATAAGAAGTTACTGATGATCAGTTTAAATCAGGAGAACATGTACAATTACCAGAAAAACTAATACTCGATCCAAAAAAAACTAAATGTTTTTGAGGGATGTGCTCATTTTACAGACGTATAACAAGAACAGTTGCAAAAAAGTTTGATGTTGTATATGTTGTTGCGAAACATGAGCTGCCCTTCACTGTGTATGAAGACTTAATTAGGTTAAAGAAATGTCATGGCATTGAAGTTGGTAATATATACATTAATCCCATCCGGTTTGGCGAGATTGTTGATTTTCCTAATGTCATGCATTGAAGTTGGTAATATATACATTAATCCCATCCGGTTTGGCGAGATTGTTGATTTTCCTAATGTCATGGTCCATGACATTAGGAAAATCAACAATCTCGCCAAACCGGATGGGATTAATGTATATATTACCAACTTCAATGTTATATATTACCAACTTCAATGCCATGACATTAGGAAAATCAACAAGCTCGCCAAACCGGTTTACATTAATCCTGAAGTACAAATATTATTGTACAGTATACTGAAGTACAAATCAGTTTTTTTTTACAGTAAATTTTGTATTCAAAAATACCCTCACAATTATGGAACAGTATACATGTATCTGATCAACAGTAAATCAAGTAGTGTTCTGCTTATTATTTTGTTTTTCATTTATGGTTTATATGGAGCTGTTGAAGGCTGCTTTGATCTGGTGCCAACTGATCTCCATAGGTAGAAGGCTGGTTCAGGATCATACTCTTTTACACTTGTTGTATGTAATCTTATCCTCATAAGGTCTGATAAAGTCTCTGGTTGAAGCCCATTTTGCAAATCTTATGCACTAGCTTGTATAAACTGAATCCATGCTCTACTTTAGCACTATGTGCTTGCAGGCTGAGTATAAGATCAATGGTTGAAAGAAAATACTTATGTCCACCTTGCTGCTGCATTGTCAACCCTCTGATTTGTACTTTTTGTCTGACGAGTCACAGACTGGATAACAAATGTTTTTATGGTGGTTTATTCATCAATAAATGCATCTGGACTAAATGATGTGCACAGATTGGGTGGTTCATTTATGATGGTTCATTCATCAATAAATGCATCTGGACCAAACGATGTGCACAGATTGAGTGGTTCATTTATGGTGGTTCATTCATCAGTAAATGCATCTGGACAAAATGATGTGCACAGATTGAATGGTTCATTTATGGTGGTTCATTCATCCATAAATGCATCTGTACCAAATGGTGTGCACAGATTGAGTGGTTCATTTATGGTGGTTCATTCATCAATAAATGCATCTGGACTAAATGATGTGCACAGATTGAGTGGTTCATTCATCAATAAATGCATCTGGACTAAATGATGTGCACAGATTGAGTGGTTCATTCATCAATAAATGCATCTGGACCAAATGATGTGCACAGATTGAGTGGTTCTTGAAAATGATGTAAGAGCACCTGGATCTCAGTATCACCAAACCTTTCCAAAAGCTCTTTGTTGTTCAACGGCCATGTTTTGATATTGCACACTTAAAGTGTCAAGATATGTAGATCATTCAGGTCTCCAAACCTTTTTTCAAGATGAGAAATTAAGGCATTTAAGATCTTCTTTCTATCTACATGAAAACTAGTTGAATCAAACTTAAAGCAATTGTTCAAACTACTAATATTAAAAATATTAACTTAATTTTCTGTGAACAAGTTTGACCAATAATTTTATGTTTGTGGCTTAACATTAGAATATGGATCATTAGATGGATTTTGTGTATGGATAGGTCAGTATCTGGAAAGTCACCTTTGGATGTTGATTCTTTTTATAATCTTTTAATCTCTATTCAGTGCAACTTTTGTCAGTTGTTGGATCCTTCAGAAAGCACGTTAACTTTGTCTGCATTGACATAACTGCCCTAGCTGTAAGTTGTCATTTGCATGCAGCAGATCATTGGTGGTGAAGTTACATTGCGAAAAGTGTGTAGTACTACCAAAATGACAGTATAAATGATCATTCATGACGATTGTTGATGTAATTTATTTTTCAAGTACAAGATTTATTTAATCACAAAAATGCAAGCAAATTATTTCGTAGTATTTAAATACCAATTATATTTCATATTGGCAATTTATGTATTTTATTTTCTGTGGAAAAATAGGTTGCATCATGTCAAGAGTGATTCGTTCCTAGCTAATTTATCGTGTAGTTAGGCTTAGCCATGAAGGCGAAAGCCATGGAAATAATTTATCATTTATGATTGTTGACATATTTTATTCTCTGAATATACATTTATTTAATCACAAAAACTTGAGCAAATTAATTTTTGGCATTTAATTACCCTTTATATTTCATGCTCATGATTTATGTATTTTATTCTCGGTAGAAAGACAGCTTAAATTAAATTTAAGAGTGATCCATTCCTAGGTGATTTATCGTGAATTTAAGCTTAGACAGGAAGGTGAAGGCCAACATAATTTCCAGAAATATGTGAGATATTGGATCAATATCACTTAGGCCTGTTTACTTTTAATAAAATATATTTTTTGTAGAAATGCTGTTGTGTTGCACAGGTAGGAAACTGTTTTAAGTTAATTAAGTTATAAAATGTTGTGAAAATTTATTTTTAAATTGTGTCCTTAGTCAAAATTTTGCCAGACAAGGGTACTAGTAATGGGTTAGATTTTGCCAGACCTCTTGCAAAACTGCTGGCATACTTTAGTGGTCCAGTACTAATTTTGGGCCCTGCTGAGACAGATTACATAGGACTTCTCTTTGACCTGTAAGCTGACATTTATTCCATAAGTTAAGCAACTTCGTGTCAAGTATACAAGGGCACTGAACACCCTCCGAGTCCTCTCTTTCACTTCTTGGGAAGTGGTTAGATGTTCCATGCTGAAGATCTATCAGGCCCTCATTCGATCAATGCTGGACTATGGCTCTGTGGTACATTTCATCAAGGGACTCTGCCTAGATGCTAGACCCTGTACATCATCAGGGGCTTGATTCTGCAAGGGCTCATTTTGTACTTACCACAGAATTCTACCTTGAATTGTGTCTTCATGCCTTGGTGGGCTGTACTTTTTGGAATAGGCTGTCTGTTATTCCTACATTTGATCTTCTTGTCAGGGCACAGTTGACTGAATTGGGTGTGATATTGGATGATGGCCCATCCTACCATGGCTTATTACCATCCCCACTTGCGACCTTTCTTTGCCATAGAAACATCATTAACTTAGAATTGATAAATTCTTAATTATAGCCCTTTTTTGCCTCTTTGGTACATCTATATCCATAAAGTTTCACATGGTTTGGGAATCCAAGATAAATTAGGTGTTACAGTATAAGACTTAACAAATATTGTTCCTGTATTGATTTTAACAATTCAATCAATTTAGCTGTTTGACCTTCTCTATTCTCATTTAAGCCCATATAACCTTAATAATATTTATTTCAGAGCTTTGTGCAGACCAAACCATGGTTGCAAGTATTCCATTGGCCTCTTTTTTTCCTTCCAGGTTTTTTTTTCACCATATTTTCTACATGCTTATGATCACTGTCTTGCTGGAGGTAACATTAACATCCAAATCTGTATTTATAGCTTGGTCATTGGCACAATCTTCACTGGACTGTCATGTATCACGTAAAGAACATACACTGAGTTACCTAGCGTACAGAAGCTTTTGCAGTGTTTGAGCTTTTTACCTCCATCAATTTCATTACCAATAGTATTAGTTTCCTGTACTGTTCTCAGAGTTTCTGTACAGCTCCTACTGAAACATTAATTTTCCTTTTACTCTGTTTCATGGAGTAACCTTCACCAGTCAAAACTTTGATTTCTACTTGTTAGTCATGTAGCAGTTCTGTGCTAGTAGCCATGAGTGCATTCACTACACTGTTGCTGAGAATGGCATGACTACCACTACTTTCATTGGCATCATACTGGTGTGAATCACAGTCAGTCACACATTAAACATTCAGCACATGAGTTCCCTCTGATGCATTTCATTTTAATAAAATATAGTGGAAGCAATTACATCATATCTGTATTTATTCATTCCCATTTCTTTTCATTGTTTCCAGTCCTTTAGGAGTTGAGTTTTATTAGAAGTTTCTCCTGGGTAAACGAATAGTATGATTTTATTTATAAAAAAATTAATTGACATATTAATATCATGTGGGCTCATCATTAATAACAAAAGGAAAGTAGTCAAAGTACTGATTCTTTTTTATGGCAAATGCATTTAAGCATGTTCTGATTCGAAGCTAGTACAGTCATACATAACAAACACACTCCTCTGTTTTTACCACCTGCAATGCTATTAAATGTGAGTTCTTTATTATATTTTAAGAAAGTCTTTAATAGTTTGTTTTTCTTATTTGTTCTTTTTTCAATTCATCATATTTCAGCAAGACACAGAAAATGACTCTTGAAGCAAAACCTTGTTGTGTAACATATTGCTGAGTATTGTTGTTGCTGCTTTTGTTCTTTGACCTTAATTTGGTTATATGTGCAATTTGATTTTACTTAAAGTAGTGTTTCATTTTTTTTCTTACTTGGGGTTGGGGAGGAAGCAAGGGTTGCATTTAATCGGGATAATGTTTTGTGATTTTGTACTTTAATTTTTTTATTTATTTTTTGTCAGAAATCATTTGTATACTTGATTAGAAAAGTGGAACGTTTCTAGATCCAAAGATGTATTACAGAAGTAAACTACTTATGTGTACAGCTATAATAGTTGCTCTTCAAATAGAAAATTGCTATTTTTATTTACTTAGATAATGATATTATCACTTGAAAGTTGCTAAAATGTAGAGTATTATATTAATTAATTTTCCTTCAGGGCATGGCAGCTCTACTTATGCCATTATCCAAGTGTGTTGAGTACCTGAACACAAGTAAGGTCTGCCCATTCCTGTCACCCTGTATGGACCGGAGTGTTGAGTATATCAAAAGTCTCAGTGATAGTGATCTAAAAAATAAGGTATAGATTAATGCTTCTGTGTGTGCTATAGCAAAATTAAAGGTCATAGAAAGTAAAACTTTATTGTCATAATAATAAATGAGGCAGTGCTTCAGAACATTTACACAGAGTTCTGTAATATAAATGTGCACTTATATCTCAAAAATGTAAAAAGCTTGTATGGATAGGTTAGAAATGAACAAAATTAATTATTGTTGTAAATAATGTTGGAATTTCAATTTTGTACACATTTTTGTAAACTGATATCTTATTCTTTGTAGCTTCTTTATGAACTTAATTGTATTTTTTTTTAGTACAATCGACTTATCACTGGATATATAATATTTATATTACTATACCAAAATGTACAAGAACTATAAAAAAAAGTATCATCATCAAATCTCTATTTTTCAGTAACTGGTAACCAAAACTTTCTGTACATGAACTTTCTTACAAAAACTTTTTCTTTAGATTATTTCTTTTTTATTCTAATTCTTTGCAGGTATTTAGGTAATTATTACTAGGGGCACTCAGAGATCTTTGGATCTGTCTTCACCCTGCTCGTGGTATGAGGAGTACTATTAACAGTTGCTTGGCAAAAAAATATAGGCTTTAATTATTGTTAAATGGTTATATAAAGTTTTTCTCATACTTGAGTGTTTGGGTGTAGCAAATCTGGAGTTAAGTCACCTCAAGAAGTCCGAGAAGGCCTTGGATGTGGTGGTACTTGATTGTTGATATTCATCATAGATTAATTCGTGTTCTCCTTCTTAGTCTCAGAACAAACTTCCTGTGGGACAGATGGTCCTTCACGGAGATAGAAATCTGTAAATCCAATGCCTGAAAATTGAATGTGGGGGGGGGGTATCCCAAGAAAACACACTTTCATGGTCAGGGCTCTGAATTAGATTAACTTGGCTGTGCCCGAATAAATTTTTAGGGGAGAGATAAGTCTATAAGGGAGAAAAAATTCTTAAATTTATTATATATATTTAAATGCCTTTAAAATGAACTTGAGGGGTGAAAAGATGAGGTTTTAAAAAATATGTATAAACATCAATTTTCATATTTATTGTTGATGATCTTATTTCTAACATAGGAACTGTTATTAAAAGTCTGCTTGTATCACAGAAGTAATAGTATTATGCTTATATTTTAATATTAAAATAATTAAAGATTGTTACAGAAAATTGTTTTCCATTAGGCAATTTGAACATTAATTTTTGGAAGGTTTTCATTTTGAACAAGACTTTGTTGTAAATATATTTTGTAGTCTACAAAATTTTAGTGTTTGTTTATTTATTTAAAAAATTCTTTAATTTCGTTTCTTGGTTTTTAGAACATTGGTTCCATATCTGAGCTTATTAAAGCAATGAGGATTCTTTGTCTTCATTTGTGGCCACACCAAAACCAGGTGGAACTAATGAATCAGTTACAGCTTGATATAATTCTTCGGATGCTGAGATGTCCACATTTTAATGCCAAGATGAATGGGTTAAAGGAGGTAAGCTTATTTTGTGTGTTTGAGATGTTACAGTGTTGACATATTAGCATACTAGATTGTATATTGAATAAAGAAAGCATCTTTGATTACATGAAAGATGTCTAGCTATTTATGCAAGTATTTGCATTGATAGATGGAGATATGTCTCTCATTTCTTTAATCATATTATTATTGAGCTGTGTTTTGAAGACATCGGAAAAAATTATATCAGGGGTATCAGCCATTTTTGGGACTACTTAACTGTTTATGTTCCACAAATAACTATTTTTGGGATTCATGTTATGCCACTTGAGTGCAAAATTGCATATGCAAAACGTAATCAAGAAATTTGATGATAATTTATTTTAATAAGTTTTTGCTATAAATGTTTGTAGAAATTTTATAAGAATTTTATATAATGGTTAACTTGTTAATTTTATAAATGAAAAGTTTTTATCTTGTATTTTTTTAGTGTCTGAAGATGTTTGAATTGCATACCATGCATTTGTTCTTTCCTTATAGCTTATATATTGATGTCTGTGTAGTATCACAAAAAACATTAAACATATCTCAAGCTTTTAGAGGCAGTATAAGCTGATCTATGATTTTATTGGCTGGACTCTTATGTATGTATCTTTTATGAAGGGTTTTGACAGATGATTGTGCATCTGAGCATTGAAAATAGATATACCCTCCAACTATGAAAAATAAATAAATGAATGAATGGAGTTAAGCCTCAAATTCTACTTTGCTACCAATATAAGCTCTTGGAAGCCATTTAAGCACAGTTATACTAGTCGGAACCCTTCATTTTATTAAAATAAACAATGGATATATTTATAAGTCTCTATCGTTGAAGCCATTTAAGCACAGTTATACTAGTCAGAACCCTTCATTTTATTAAAATAAACAATGGATATATTTATAAGTCTCTATCGTTGAAGCCATTTAAGCACAGTTATACTAGTCAGAAC